CTATGCCATTAGTGTCCGCGATAACAAAAAAAGTTTAAGGTTTCTGTAACGTTAACAGAAAAGCATTCATTTAAATTAATTAAGAGATACTTTTAAAATTATTACATTAGTACTGTTTAACACACCCTATCTTTTTTTTTGTCGTTACAAATCGTTATAAAGATTTCAGATGGGATTTTAAATGTTTCATAATATTTAAATATTTTGTATCTCAAGTTCCACAAATCGCAAAACTTTTATGATATAGAAAATATCACATTAAAACGTTTTTATATACGTTTACACTAAATTGTCTAAATTAATTTTACTGAATTTTAGATTCTTTAAATTAAATAATTTTATGTTTGATATATTATATTATTTATAAAAACATATTTCTTTGTATCTTGTACACAAACTTATTTATTTTTAAAAACTATTTGATATACAATTTAAACGAACACTACAATTATCGAACATGATGAGCACTTACAATTAACATGATCGCACTGCAACTTTTCTCTCAATAGCTAATAGCCCATGCGTAACAATTCTGATGCTAGCACTTACTTTGAGCTTTTATGTATTTATACCGACAGAAACAATTATAACCAATAAACGCGCTGTTGTTGAAACTGTTTGTACAATTTGTACAATTGTTTCTATCGGTATATAATCACGACTAATAGTCAATGAAATTCGCACCTTTTTTTCCTCTCATTTACGATGAAAAATCCACAAAGTTTAATTTGCTCTTCTCTATAAAGTTTAACGGAATTTTTTACGAGGCTGGACGACGGACAAATTAAGAAGAGAAAAAACTTCGAAAACTATCGGTGAATTCACAGCATACTTTTTCGCAAGTTAAGTGATTGAGAAAAAAGAAATCCAGGAAGCCGGCGATCCCGATTCCAGCCAAAGTCGACGGCGATCCTATCGGCTTTAATCGGTAACTGATCTTATGCAAATCTGCAGTAGCACCTCGAGGATTCGGAGGAAAAAAGGAGAAAGAAAGAAAGAAGGGAGCTTGGATGCTCTTTTCTCGGCATCGTGATCAGCTGCTCGAGATAAAATCTTTGCTTGTACCGCGCTGTCTCCACCCTAGGCCACGATCTCAATACACGATCGCCCTTACATCTTCACGCTGGAAGACAAGTCGCAATTAATTGCATCTTTTTACTTCGCGTTAATCGATGGTGTATCAAAATTGGTGAATTATTTTAGAGTGCATATTAGAGTGTTATGTAAAAGATTCGAAATCTGTAAAGTTTATACTTTTCTTCCTATAAATAATATTGCAAGACAGAACATCCTTCAATCGAGCCTTCAACTGACAATAGGCTTTAAACAAAGACAATAGGTTTTAATCTAACGTTCCTTAGATCACAAGTCGAATTATAAGTCGAGTAATAACTATATAAGATATAAATCTATGCTTTTCCTTTTTCTCTTTTAGTAATAATATTTGTATTAATTATACTAATCGTTCTGGATATAAATAATTATGAAATTACACGAAAAAGTAAGTTAATATTCATTCTATTTATGTAGATTAATCTCGGTTTAATTTGTTCATTTTTTTTTCAATTCTTAGCGGATACTGGTGCGTAGTAAATCCGAAAATCGAAGTAGCCGTAAGGAGACGGATACCTATGGTACTTTGTGATAACTGGAACATGAATGAAGTCATGCTTGCGATGCGAAGCGATCCTTACGGGATTAACCACCAAGAAGCGAGACGGAGGAGTCGAACCTCGTTTCAACGCTCATCTCTCGCGAATGCCGAACCGCATGATGGTTCGGGAGGCGGCTGTGTTGTACGTCGCCTGGTACGTACGTATCTGAAATACTCTTCGTCCCCGGCACGGCGGATAGGAAATCGTCGTTAGGCCCGGCGGAATTCAACGAGTGACACCACAAGTCACCGGAATTTGAGCGTCGCATAGCGCGGGTACCGCACGAGCCGCGAGTCTCTTTCCAAGATGAATTCTGATGGCCGTGAATCTCCAGGCATTACGTGCTGCATATAAAAAATTCGATTCTGGAACTTTTGTATTTTTAAACTGTTCGAAACATTGATCTTTACATTTTTTAATATTTTTATATTTCTCTGTAGATTTTCTGTTTCTTAAACGTTTGAATTTTTAAATTTTTGCACCTTGCATTGTTTGAATGTTTTGATCTTCTCACGCGTTCGCATTCCTACGTACCCGAGTTCGTATCACCAAAAGCGAGGGTATATATTCTCGGTGAATCCTTCCTCTTATTTTTATTCCGCAATGAACTTCCAAACGGTGGCGGGTAAAACGCGGCGCTTTTCGATTGTCGATTTAACCCCAGCTATATCCCTCGAAACCGCCGACCACCTATTCGCACACTCCCTCCCCCTACACTTCCCCAGAGCACCCTTCCTTCGCCATCAATTATTATCGTCCTTCTCGTCCTCGTAGGGCCGACGTCGACGCGGTGTAGGCGTCCTACGATTGGGCGCCGGGACGCCCGGCGTCGTCATGGCAACCGACCCTCTTCGACGAGGGCCGTGTAGGCATGGGAGGGCGAATAACTCGCGAAAACACGTAAATTAAACGCACTATGGGGGTTGATGGGGCGGAATGGGGCCGAGTGGGTGTCTCAGACTGTGAAACATAGCCGTCATAAGCGGATATTAAAGCGTCCTTCCTTGAGGCAGGGTCCTTCCGGAGCCCTGAATCGGCTCGTAAACGCCAAATAAAAATTTTTCCCCTTCCGAGTTTCTGTTCCGCCTTCTCTCTGTGCTTCTCCTTCTCTTCACAGTAATGAGATAAATCTTCAGGTGAATGTCTCTGAAGATGTGTTTCCTTTCTCTTAATCATCTTACGATTAAATTATTTGTTAGAATAAGAAAGTTAATACAAGTATCTTTATCGTATATAAAGGAATAAGCAGCTTTTTAATATCTATTTCTAGCAATGTAGATCAACTTTAATCTCGGTTTAACACACCCTCTTGGTTTAATATTTCTTTCTAGTCCTAAGAATTAAAAAAAGATAAAGAATAAATTAAATAGAAATATTATACAGTTAATCTACATTTGATAGAAATAAGTCTAATTAAAATGTTTTGTGAATAAATTAAATATTTTGTAGATATCTAATTAGAATGTTTACTTTCAAGAATATGTAGAGAAGTTTTCTTTATGCTAGATAAATGGCATAAATTTTTTCTAACTACTAAAATTCGTATAATATAAAGAAAAATCATTTTATGTTTTTTATCCCGACTTATCTGCAATGGTAGAGTTGCGTAATGTAAACGCGATTTTCTCGCTTGGTTGCTAGCGTGAGACAAATATTTAGAAAATAATTAGCATTTTTGATAAGCTCAATGCGTAAGAAAATAAAGAGACGTGATCGTTATCAGGTATGAGATGGTGTACGTGTGCATAATCAGTTTCTCGAACGTTGTACACTTAGTTGCAGGCTGAATGTCGCAGGTGTCTCATGGCGACATGGCCATTCGTACGCATAGATTACCGTCACTCGTCGTTTCGACGACTTACACTCGCTGACAGTTCCAGTTTTGCAGTCACCAAACGTACAACGCCCTGCTCTGATCGAGCAGGTGATCACCGGCCGTCGAAGAAGTCGACTAAATATCGTTTCCAACGGTTTCCGCGCGACGAACGACACGTGGACAGTGCGAGCTGTCTCCTGCGATGTGCAACACATCGTAGAATGTATTCACCATAAATTAACTTTTTAGTCCTGTACCATTACTTGCCGCGCAAAAAGCGCCGAGACTTCTATCTTTGGTATACTCGACTTACAAAATATAATGTCATATAATACATATCTTTACGTATAATCGTCAAATTTAAATTAAATATCTTTGAATACGTTTATTCTGATGACAGTTGTTCAGATTTTTGATCTCTCCATTATCTTTCATTCCAATTAAGATTAAAAGCTTGGATTAAGTTCTAACAATTTTTTAATTGTTAGATAAATTGTCACAGCTACGGAAAAAATGATTTTTCTGAAATATCTAAAAATTTATTATATCATAACTTATTTTTATTAGAAATGCAAACATGAAAATAGTTTTGTTAACTATTAAAGTAATGTAGAGATGATTAAATAGGATATGAGCAATTTTATAAAAAATGTTTTATTCTAGCAACTAACTTGAGATATAATTATTTTAATAGTTCAATAAAATTACGTTTAGACCTGTATATTTGATTAAAGGATACTTTAGCAAAACCGTTTTTTCAAATATATGATAAGTCTTTTCCGATTGATAGTAAAGTGAAACAATCGATTATTCGATGATAGCGCGCATTCTAGGTCCTAATCCAAAATTGAGGAATCCCAAGGGAAGAGACAGAGCATCCGTGGCGATTTGTACGCTTGCGAGCGCGCGAAGTCGAACGCGGGCGTGATTTACGCCGACGTAAAAACTGTCTGTGGAACGTATTCGAAATAACCGCGGAATGTCCATATATTCCGGCGGAACGTTAAACGCTTACGCGGCAGACGTTTAACGCACATTGACCACATGGTTCGCCTTTACGTTGTCAACAGTGGCTCCGGCGTGGTTCATGCTGCTGGTCGTTATCGCTTTTCTCTTCCCGCTCGAGGAACACGCGTGATATTTTCACAACACTGACTGCTTCATTGTATCATAGAATAACTTTTACCAACTCCGATTAAAAATGTTACCAATGTGGAAATTATGCCTATATATTTCTAGTATATCATTAAATTACGTATTATTAAATTCCAAACTCGAGAGAGAAATCTAACTCTGACACAATCTTTAAGTACTCTGCAACGATATTGGAACTTGCAGATTCCATGATCATTTCTGATTCCTTTTATTTCGATATTCTTCATTTAGTATTTTGCTTGCTCCTCTTTCGATTCCAACGTGGATTATTGTCATGTTGGTACGCGGTAAACGTTTCCGCTTACGTTCGTTAACAAAACGAGAAGAACCAGCAAAGATTGATCGCAAGTAGAGAAGGTGCTGGATAGGGACGAATGGGGCAGATTAGTGGTTTATCGAAGGGCAATCTAGCGATGAGAAGTAGGCGGGGAAGCAGGATAGAAGACGAAGAGCTGATGGACCTGATCGGAGAACGCGAATTGCATTTCAATGTGACCGTTTCAATGTTTCAGCGCGTACGTAAGAGCGTTTCGTGTGGATTCCACGAGGGTAAAAACCCTGAATGGCGATCGTCGGCGAGGAGAGCCTCAAAGACGGACGGTGTTTTCGCGATAGTGAGCGAGCTCCGTGGAATGCTGGGATCATCGCGTCGACTTTTCGGCTCCAAGCAAAATCAAAAGTTATTTGGGATCCACGAATCTAGGATGATTTGTAATGTTTAGATTGTAGAATATAGAATCTCTCTCTCTCTCTCTCTCTCTCTCTCTCTCCTAAAGTATTCTTACTGTGATTTGCAGCAAGTGAAAATAAATATCTAAACTATCATCTTCCCATCAAATCAAATCTTTATCAATATATGAAATACTTAATAATTAAAATTATTGTATGAACTATATATTAATTATTTCAATATAATGTTATCTTATACTTTAAGAATTTTGATCCAAATATTAGTCTGAAAATTATTTTTATATCCAACATAGAGAATGTAGCTTCATTATTATTGTACAGCATTTATCTCATAAATGTGGAAATTCAGGTATGTGACTCGAGGATAGATCCAGCGAGATTCGAAAAACGCGCAGATAAGGCACTTAGGTGACACGCGCTACGAAAATACACGGCGAAGAGACGACAAGACAGAATTAGACGCGGAGAAAGAGGCGCGACGTCCGACCGTTTGTTTTACGGCTTTGCCCGTTTCCACGACATCGAGCGCAATTTTTCTTGCTGCCTTCTCTTCTTCGTCCTTATTCTCTCCCCTTTCTAGTGCCTCGCCCAAGCTCCTTTATTCCGAAGAGGGCTCGCGACCTGTCGACCCCGTGCTAGCGTGAGATTAATGCTCGCCTTGACGCGATTACTCGCAATATATGTATTGCAGTAATATACGCAACATTTTTAAATATTCAAAGATCTGAACGAGAATTTGAATAAAATAAAGAAATTTGTAAATATATGAAGTGTGTACAAATATATTTTTTAAGATATACCTTTTATATGTTAAATCATGATTCTTTAATTTCTTATTTTTAAATGAAGTACTTTAAACAAAGCACAAAATTATAGTATATTTTTAAAACTTCTACATATCTCTTTTTATAAAATTTTTTGTGTAATATATTATAAATTGTTTCTTTATCTTTGTTATCTTTATGAAATTTCTGATTGTTTTATACGCCTTTTACATATCTTTCGTTAGGACAATCACATACAAAAAGCATAAGCTGTTTGATCATAGCATAGTGTTGAACGAACAAACATCCGACATAAAAATAGATTTACCTAAGATGTTCATTGATCCATCGGCTTTAAATTATGATTATGTAGCTTATGACATTTTTTTTATGATGGTCCTTATTTGTTATGTATAAGATTAAACAGTACCCATTTCTATAATATATCGATATCTTTAAAAAAAGAATCTAATCATATTGTTGACATCGGGCGAGTAAGAATACCAACAATTTATTATATTTAAACATCTGCAGAAAGTCTGATAAAAAGATACTTCCGATGTTTCATTTACAGCACAGACGGACGGCGCGTCTGCAAATTCGTCAACAGGCACCCCGTTTAAAAATAAGACGTAAGAACACACCATCCCCGTCGAGACGTACTGGCTTATTGGCGTTTCTGCTCATTAGGATAACCCGAGGGGGTTCCGACGCGATAACTCATTCGACTCTGAGAAAAAGTAAATAGAGCGAAGAACGGAGAAGCGCGTACGCCGGCCGGGAATTCTGCGAGCGACTGAGATTATCGAGGAAACGTTTATTTTTGCTCGTTAATTTCACGTCTCGCTTCCGTCGCTCGTTTGTCTCCCGCGCTTTTCATAATCTATCGCGTCTTTTTTGGTCTCGTATTGAGTTCAAGCAGGATACTTCTCGTGTGCTCAAGGATAATCTTAAAAAGGTCGATAATTGATGACAATTTTATAATAAAGCCGTTATTACAATGTTATTATAAATTAACTTGAAGAAAAATAATTTAAGATCCGTTTATTTCACGTAATTTTATCTCTTTGTTAAAATATTTTTTTTCAATATTTTTACAAGAAATAATAATGTATTATACATTATAGTATTTAACAATTATAAAAAATAAATATAGTATTTAACTTTGTGCAAAAGTTTAATTAAAAATTAGTAAAATATTTAATAAGCTAATAAGGTAGTGAGATTTTTGTTTGAAATTTGTGTTTATTGATATTACAAACTGATAAAGATATCAATTGTAATTATTCTATTACTTTAATTGCTTTATTAATATTAATTTATTATTATATGCATATTTATTGCATTTTACGCATTTTTATCTGCTAATGATTTTATTTTTTTGTAATTTTTATCTTTAATTTAAATAAAGGAAGCTTTATTATAAAATTGTTATAAATTATTGATCTTTTTGAATAAAGAATTACAAATTAAAAAATTTTTATACATATATAATTTATTAATAGATATATCACTTTTCAAAAAAAGGAAAATTTATGTAAATAGAGTTTTAATTATTAACACAACAGCATAATAAAATGCAACGTTTAAAATTTATTAAAAAATATGTGCCATTTTTAATTCTATGTCTATATTAAATATATTATATTAGTCATTATAAAAATTGTTAATATACATTTTTTTACTTTTGATTACTTTTTTGCCAGTATTCAAAATATTCGACTATTATTAACAATCGATACTACTGTAACTCTTGTACCGTAAATCGATACGACAGAATTAATATCACTATATAATATTTTATTTTCTTTTATTTGTATATATAAATATAATGGATTCTTATAAATTTTCCATTATAATAAAAAATTAAAGTTTTTTAAATTATAAAAGAGTAGATAAATATTAAGAAAAGTTACTAACTTACATTTTATAATGTAGTGTGTATTATGTATATATATACACACATATTATATATACACATATACATATATATTTTAAAAGGATTATCATCTACGAGAAATCTGTTAATAATATAGGGATCTGTAAATGATGCCGTTACATTATATTTTTTAGAATATTACCATTATTACATTTTTTTAGAAAATTATTTTTATCAATTATGATATGCATATAATAAATGTGAAATAAAATTAAAATTTTTCTAGATTTTTGTTTTTTGAAAGTCTATGAAATATAAATCACATCTGTAATGTTATCTTTAAAATTTTAAGGTTCTTTAAGAAACTATTATAGAATTACAAAAGAATCAATACTGCCAGATTTTTATAAATAGTTGTTTTTCAATCATAAAAAAATTAAAAATTTATAATTAAAAATAGATTTTGTACAATTATTAATAAAAATAAAAATTGTATTATGTTATTAAAATAATTCGTTTTTTATTGCATAAAAAAGTTTTTATCTTTTATATTTATTTTAACAAAACCATCCCCACGAAAATTGCCGATAGAACAGAAAAATCAATATTCCGCAACGTTGCCACATCGAACACGTCAAGGGTTGAGTGTCGGAGTGTCTTTATGAGAAAGTGGTTTTCGTCGCGGGGGGTGAGAAAAAAGCAAAGGAAAAATTCAAGAAAGTTTGATCACACGTGGGTCATGACTACGTCGTACATCGCGAGTATGTAATTTCAAGTGATTGGTTTTTTCCTTCCTTGTGTTCAGGGTTGCATGAGACGAGTGTCGTTCGAGAGACGAGTGTTGTTAATATCATGCATGCTCCTTAGGGAACGTGAGTCTTTCCTGAAAACCTTTTTAGAATTTACACACCATACACAAATTGGTTAATTAATATTTAATTAGCTACAGTTAAACAGTGAAATGGCATATTGTGGACTTAATTTCTAATAAACTTTTTATTATGCTAAATTTTAAGAATAAAAAAGGTAAAATTAAACTTGAAAATTTAAAGAAACAAAGCTCAAAACAGTTTGAAAATAACAATTATTGAAAAGAACTTAAAAATTGAACAATAAAATTACTAAGTACTATTGATAATAATTAAAATAAAAAAATATTAAAGTTCAAGTTAAAATAAGGATTTAAACATGTCAAAGATATACAAATAAAAAATTTAGAATGCAGTGACTCTTAAAAAAAAAATTTCAAACAGAAAGAAAAAACAGAATTAAACCTCGCAGATGTGTATCTAATAGAATCAATAGTTGAATTTTCTTATTGCTTTTTTGATAAGTAAAATAGCTCAAAATTTGAAATAAAAGAATACACTGCAGTTGTATCGTTGATTCGTACAACGTCTAAAAAAAAAGATTTGTGATGGAATTTCCTGATTTCCAGAATATCAACATGAGTCTCTGTCCACGGAGACGCTTTCGCATCACTCCTATGCGAGCTCTGGCGGCATTCTTCCTGATGGTTGTGCTGTTCTGGTATAGCCTCAGTCGGCAAGAAATTCCGCAGCAACCATGTAGCGTGCCCGAAGAATTTACTGAGAAATTACATGACCTCGCTTATAGGTCAGTATATATTTGTAATATTTAAATAACGGTCTGAGAAAAATTAAATATGTACAATAAATATCAGACGTCTATTTAATAGTAATTGTATTTAGTTTCTTCATCTTTCTCTTTTAATTATAAATTCAATTTTTATTTAGATTTTAAAGTCTTAAATAAAAATCTATATAACTGCAGATATATAATTGATAAAATGTTACCTTTTAATAAGAGTTTTAAGTTAAATTTTAGGAGATGTCTCTCTTTGATTTTTAATGCGTGAAATATAAAGTTTATGTAAGATTTATTATAAAAACATATATTCATTTATTATAAAAACATATATAATTTTCATAATTTCTCCAGAGCTCATTTGGTCCTCACTAAGTTGGGCATCGTTCACTTTCTCTGCCTGGGCGGCCTTTGGGGTCAAGTTCGAATAGGCCGCGCACTGCCGTGGGCACGTAAAGTGGAACTATGCTTAGTTGACACACTTCGCGACGATGTCTTAATCACGAAAGCCTTCCGAGAAGTCGGTTTGAGTGCAACCTACCTTCACGCAGCGGGAATTTACAGGATACAGGAACATGAAGTCGGCGAAGATGCACCTAAAGTGGAAGTGGTTGTTTTCGAGGAAGATGCAGTGGTAATTAAGTTTCTTTAACAAATTTTTTGTTTAAAATATGCATCCGTAAAATTTAAATAATAACCATTTTTTAAAAATACGTATATATAAAACATAAAGTCGAACAGACAAAACTACTCGTTTTGTTAATATTTGCTTTAAATGCTTCGCATTTATGTCAATTTTATTGTCACTATAATTACTAGCTTACAACTTCGACTCTTCCTTGCTTTTACGTCAAGAGTAGTATTTGTATTTAGTACAATTGCATTTTATGTATCTAGCATGCAAATGCAAATTCAACGCTTTGTGTCTTGTTGCCTTTATGCTTTTATGGAGCATTGAAGGAAACTCTAGGAATATACGATTTCCGTGCACCTTAAAAGCGCTTCCCGTATATAAGACAAGTGAAGACAACTCCTTTCGTAGCGTCGGTTTGTCCATAAACTGGCAAATATAGTCGTTTTATTGCCCCTCATTTGTAGGTATTACGACTCGAATTGCCGGATTCGCCGGCAAGGCCATTAATTGTATCAAATTTATCTTAAATTTTCTGGATTTACAAAACGTATATGTACGAATTCACTGATGAAAATTATCTTTAAAAATATTTTAATTTAAAAAATCGAAAGTTTCAAAGCTAATCCAAAAAGAAGGAAAAATGTAGAAACAAATAATTAACACCTCGGAAAATATGGTGTTGACACTTGCAGACGCAGATGGTGAGAAGAGTCGGCTGGACCAGAAGGGTCCTACCTCCGGACTGCGAGTTCTCGCCGAGTCTACAGTGTTTTCCACCACAATTAGTTATACCTCCTCTACCGACGAAACAATTCGGCGGCCGATTGATGCCCGTGCCACGAGAAGGCATAGAATTACAGAAGTATCATTATCCTAACGATTGGTGGTTAGAGATCAAGCCCACTGACTGCACCGAGCTCCAAGAGACAAATGTGTAGTGTACAATCATGGTGCAATTAGTCCTAGCGCAATATTACAGAACATTGTATAATTCGCTAAATCGGAACATTGTCTAACCAGTTATAGTTTAGTTATTTATAGTGTTCAACTGATAATTAGCTTGGATTATAATGAAGGAAGCACTGAGGTATTTTTTATTATAACCAAGATATTTTTTCTAGAAGTAGACACGACAAATAGAAAATGTGCATGTGATAATAACGGTAGAGTTATTACGTATGATTGATTTAAAGATCTAATTTACTCTTTTGTGAAAAGTTCGATTGGCGTACACAAAGTGATGACGCAATCACCGCTTATAGAAAGTATTCAAGTGCTGTCATAAAATAAATTAAAACGTACAGTAGTATTATTGGTAGTGATCAATTGCTAATTATCGTAATGATTATTAGATAATTAAAAATAGATTCAAATTACAAGCCATTTTTTCCTAAGATTTTCTTATTATTGTTATATTATTTCCATTTTTATATTTCACATTTTTTAATTACTTAATTAACCTCGTAATTTGTAATTAAAATTTTATAAACTAGCAATTTATATTTAATACGTATTACTGAAACAATTATATAGAATAAACTTTTATGCATTTTTACACTTTTTTAAAATTATTTTTTATCATTTAAGGGTATTTTAAGACACAGTAACATTTACATTACCATAAGTGCTAAGAAGATTAAAGTACATGTATACAAATACAATTTTAGTGTTCATATATTCTTCGAAGCGCAAAGTACGAGTATACTCTAGACTCAATCGTGAAGTTATAGAGAAAATATACAATAAGAAATAAACTGTATGTGTGTACTTAAAAGGCTTTACTTAATTGTACACTTATTTACATGTTTATATGCAATGCGCTTTTTATACAAATACATGTCTTCTTAAAATAATGTATTTCGTTTAAGCGATTAATTATAGATAATTATTATTCAATAAGCAATCTTGTTACAATTTATTATAAACTATAATGAGAACCGTAATTATTATTCAGTGCAACGTAGTAGAAAACAATAATACGTAATAATGAAATATATTCGTTGTATTTCTACTGGTCGCGCGCGAATTTATGTTAATGCAATTATCAATGTAATTGTAACAAAACATTTCGTAATGTTACAGTTACGTCCTGAAATCTTCCAGGAGTTGAATAAAAATCTGTAAAATATATTAACACGTTTTTTATTTATTGTAAGTAATTATATATATGATCGTCGAAATATCTTCCTTTATAATTAGAAAGAGAAAGTTTGAAGAGCTCGCAGAATCTCGACCACGATTAGATTGATGAAATAGACAACATAACAGCAACATCATTCAAAAGAATGAGTATTTCCTAAAGAAATCTTTGAAAGTAAATGCGCGTACCTATTAGCATGCGTTCCTTGTTGAAAGTATCTTGAAAGTACTTTTATGGATGATGCCTCCGTTTTCACTACGCTGAATCTACGGCTCATCAATTGCTATAGCAATTTTTTAGCACGAACATCTTTTCCTTATTATCGCTTTTATAAAATTTAATGCTATATGTTTATTTAAATAAAATTAATATTATGATAGCTATTAGTAAATAAATTTTAACGTTAACTTATATGGATCAAAGCATAAATTTGTGAAAATTTTTTTAAAGTTTATAATATACTATAAGACATTTAATATCGCATTTGAAATTATTTTTAAAAAACTGTTGCTTATTGCTGCCTATATTTTTGCATACTTCAGGTGTATAAATGTATGTGTTTACAAGATTATGAGAAATATATTAATATTTTTCATAAATTTAGGACACAGAGAAAGTATCTATTTTGCACAATGTGAATCACGAATAAAATTTGCATGTGATTCTTACTTGAATATATTCCTTATTTCTTGAATTATAGTACAACTTTCTATTATGCTATTAGATACATACAATCTTTTGCCAAATAATTTCTTATTTTGTCTGTTTATTTGTGAGTGTAGATTTTCCTTAGTGAAACTTTTCTTCGTTGAAGAATAACTTTAGTTGTAGAGCATTACGATGACATTTATGACCATTATACATATGTTGCTTTAGGCGGTTTGAGAGAAATGGAAGGGAAGATATAAAAGAAAGTCTGCTCGAAGACTTTCAAGTTCATAGTTTCATTTCAATCTATGAAGGTTTCATCCGGCTACACGAGTGTTTTTGTTCATCCAAAATCTTAACAAGATAATGTGTTCTGTTTCTGAAACAAAGTGATATAAAATCTACATTCGAAGAATTTTAATATTTATCGATTTAATGTTTTATATATGCACAATACACTATTGTTGTTACACTGTAAAGTTGTTGAGATGTTTAAAGTAAAAATTAAAATTATTATTTTAGATGAAGTGATAAATTAATAAATAGTGATAAATAACTATTTCTTTACCAATTTGTGGAAAAGAATATTAACTTTAAGATGAAAAAAGTGTATCTAGAAAATGCCATTCTAACTATGTATTTATTTAATCAATAATTTAATTAAAATAAATTGGATGCCTTAATACAATAAAGTACAATTATAAAAAATTAGATTATTACTTTATAAAAATGAAGGTGAGTTAATTAATATTAAAAAATTTTCTTTTACATTTTTTTTTACAAAAATTAATACTAACCGTGATGTGTTGATAATAACTTTTAGTTACCTATGGTTATCGTGTTCTTTGGCTTAATATTGGAATTAGTGGAATTTAATGAAAGCTACAAAATTAAGCAATATTCATATCATAATCCTCCTCCATGGCGGCGTCCACGATGGCATTCGTTTCCAAAACATCGAAAACGTTATCATTCCAAAAGAATACTACCTCACAAGTATCACCTTTACGAACCAGACTACGACAGGTAAAAACTGGAAATCGTTGAAAATTTCATGTTTATTAAATATCTTAAAAATATTTGTTTTTTAAATTAAACGTTATTGTCTCATATTAGTTGCTTATATTAGAGCTTGTATTATATTTAATATTATATGCATATTTAATAAAAATATTTTTAAAATTATTTTTACATGCAGATACGCACCGTATCATGAGGATACATCTGACCAAGATAAACCTTTCGTTATAGTCATACAACTTCCGCAAAAAAACGAAAAAAAAAAATATGATTTCTATCAGCGAAAGCACATTATAGATCCTCCGCAAAATAACGATTATGCCGATGATGACGATGAAGAGGTAAAAGTGTACCAAATAAAATAACTAAGAAATTCAAATTAAACTCAACGACGATTAATTTTTGTAAGATATATAATGATCAGATAATTTGATTAATAAATTCTAAAATTAACAATATAAAAAAAATTCGTTGAGTTGAATTTCTGTTTCAATATGAATGTTCTATATTTGCTTGTTGCATTTGACATATTTTATATGTTAACCTTTCGTGTTTAAGATTGTGTGTTTATTTATAAATATATGCCAACATACATATAGTCTATGTTGGTCGGAGATATTTAAAGTTGTATTTTATTTATTAGAATTGTACTCTATTTTTTTAATTTTTTATTTAGTAAGACATATTATTTTTTGCGATGATATAATATTTATCTGGAATTACAATTTAGGACTAAAAAGTAACAATTCTGAAATTATCCCGTCATCTTGTAATAATGGAAAGAATAACGAAGAAAATGGAGATTAGAAGCAGGATGATTTGGCGTTATACTTAATTATACTACATGTTTTTCAACGTAATTTTTATTTCTAACGTAATAGTCAACGAACATATTGTAATCATAAATAATAATCACATACAATATCGTCGTGATGTTGATGTGTCGCTGTTGCACTCCATCTTGCGCAATTTCATTTATTTTCTTGACGTCAACAAAGATCACTCAAACAGATTCTTTCGTACTTTAGGCTCTTGTCTACGTCGGAAAATAGATCAGTCTTACAAACAAGAATTTTCGGTATGCGCAATTTAGTTCTAAAATTAGTTCTAAAAGTAATTTAACAAATTTATTATTAAATTTACAGTAAATATCGTACAGAACTAACAAAGTTATAGTAACTCAGTCTTCTTCAAATTTTGATTGTTATAAATATAAGCTATATATTGTATATACATATAAATTCAATTTATGAATTATTTTATGAAAACAATTACATAATAATAGAATACTACAAAACAATCTAATTTGATAAAAATAAATTCTACTTTAAACAACGATGATCTTTTCCGACGTGTGCGCCTCTTAGAACTTCATACGATCCTTCGTAACGTTACAATACTCTCTACAACCATTTTTGTGTTTAACATTTACACTCGACTCTACACAGCCGTTTTAATTAATTGTATTCCTTTCACGTTTTTTGTTTAATCGTTTGTGCGTCTTTATTGATCTTCTACGGCTTCACTCTCACACACGCGGTGATTATATAAACATAGAAACATACAAACACACATGTTTTTTTCTTCTACGTGTCACACACGACGCATATTAGCTTTTCTTTCGCTTAACCCGCGCGAATAATTAAACTTTGCTTTTTATAATTTGCATCTCGCCATTAACTACGATTTTCGAAGCACTTTATTGCAGGTTTCTTTTTTTAACAAAGCACTTATCTGTTTTTTTTTAACTCCGGATCATTCGGCTTGTTTTTTATTTCATCTTTATTTTTTTCTGTTTATTTATTTAACGCATTTTACAGTTGATTAAGGAATGTGCAAATGCAATTTTCTGTTCACAAATTGCTGTGTGTTTTCTCGAAATATCATATTTATCGTGAATGCGCATTTTATGCACTAATTTTATACGACGATCTCGACTTGTTTACGCTGTTTGGATGTCCTTCATTAATGATACATATAGTAATAAAGTATTGTTTTTGTATTAATGTTATGCAACTGTGTAATAATTCATAGATCAAGCGATTTATTTTTGCTTACGTGTAATCGAATAACTGGTGTTTGGAATCACAGATAAGGTAATACGATAAAAAAAAAGATCTGCATAGAATTAAGAATTTTTTAATTGTAAATGTATATATATAAAAACTGAAAATTATTATGCGCGAAGGACATCTTAACTCGCGCAAATGCGAGATACACGTGTATGGTTACCACGGCAGCTATATGTATTTACGCACGTGTTTTTCTGTATGTGTATATAATCAGCGTTTCTCTGAAAGACTTAATAATTATATCCGTTGTAATCACAGTCGATGTAAAAGTGTACACAGAGGCGATGCTCATTAATACAATATAATCTATATTTAATCTTTCGTTTACGATTTCTCTCTCCTTTATCGCTTTATTCTTATATTTTTACGTTAACTCATGAACGATTCATGTTCATCTCCATCACGATTGAATTACGGTCCATCTCGAAACTTTGATGGATACTCCAAACGCGATCGAAGGATATCGAAATAATTTTTTATTTTTAACGGCCGCCATCGCGGTTTCGATTTTACACATACGTGCGTGTCTCTATAAGGCGTGGCACTTGCAAGATATGAAAATCAATTGCACACGTCAAAACTGCGCCCAACGACTTCGTTCATCCGCGTTCTTGCGATTTTGTGGTACCAGGGATCCTTGTGGTACTGAAGCATAATCCATGCGGTACCAAGACCGCGTTGCGTTCTCTCTTCCGAAGAAATAGGCCATTCATCGGTATCGTGTTAACCGGAAGTTCAAAGGGTGAGTTTTGCTGCGTGCTTTAAGATGACAACAAGACCACGACGGGGCTAGGCGGAGCGTTGCGGCGACAGTGAAAGTAGAGGCACGCTAGCAGGCCCTTCCCCGTCGGGTGAGCGTCATACCGGTGTCTCGAAGGTCACCTGCAACATTTATATTATAATTTATAATACAGATATAATAAAAAAAGCATTAAATAACTAATTTAATTTTCTCCCTGAAAGAAGTAGCTAAACTGACTGATGTCAAAATCTAATATGATTACTAATGCTGGGTCTGTAAGACCCATTTAATTTATGTTTACTAAAAAGCACTAATTAATTTTGAGGAAATTAAAATGACATTTGTCGCGATTAGAATATTATCAAAATTAAATTAATAGGGTTAAAGTTTGCTCTTTTAAGACAAATGCAGCGACACTACCGTGTTCTTTTACGCGAGACCGTACGTATATACATTGTAAACCTACGAAGGTTTATTTTGTTTTGCATAGAAATTCCTTAAATTACTTCTTGAAATTATTATATGTTTTAAGAAGGAATATCAATGTAATGCGATTTAAGGAACAGATTTTCTCGTTGCCAAAATCGCATCGTATTGAAAAAAATCTCATTTAAAACATAATAGTACAAAAAAATATGAAAAAGTTAAATATGAAAGGAAAAAGAATACAGTTTATTATACTGTAAAAAAAACTTAAGAATATTCTGCATAATTTCCGATTTTTGAGCTTTTAAGTAAAAGTAGTGCGATTTCAGCAACCTTATCCTAATTATGTTACTATTATATACAGTTACGAAAAGAAAAAAGTAAAACCATTTCCAGTCCGTCATAAAAAAGAAGTATTTAACTTGTAATGGTAACGTTATTAAGTAACTTATAGTTATACTTTCATTCCTTGCATGAAGAATAAATTGAATATGTCCAATTGTGACCCACTATCAATTTTAGAAGATAAAATCGTATCTTATACGTAAATGTATGTTAAATATCTGTTTATTAAACTGTTAGAGTTGTTAAAATGGATCACGGTCTGCTGTCTTTAAATCGGCAAAAACCTCGCAAAAAGGCAAATATACAGAGAAATGTCTACAGTTTAATACACATAAAATAGTATAATTACATCGTTAATGTTGAAATCTGTAGTTTACGACTTTCTATTATACATAATATGATGCATTAAAGTACAATGTATATAGATATATACTAGACAATTCAGGTTGTGCTAAAGGAGAGTCTGCAAGTATCTTGATGTATCTGTGATAGACGTACATAGTACATTCGACAATCAGAATAGCATAAACTTATCTGTAGTAATATAAGTGTACTACAGTTTGATTGTTTGGAAAGAGGAAGCGCTAATGATGACCGCAAGAAATATATGGTCTCTCCCAACACGGTAGGTCACTGTATGTAGTATATCAAATTAATTATTGTTAAATAAGGAAATTACATGTGGAAATTTTATTTTAACTAAAAAACGTAAATAAAGTGGCATTCGATTATATCCAGAAAAAAATTAATTCCCATAAAAAGATATCGCTCTAAAATATGCACGCTTTTTTGTCAGTTCGCTTTTAAAATTCGCGTGTATCCTGCTTTGTTTGATCTAAAAATAGCCACTACATTTTCCGTGCCACGAGATAGCACTCGATCCTCTATCGTATGTCTATAATGGAGTCAACGTAACGAAGTTAATGAATGAAATCAACGTACCTCTCGAGTCCCTTTTCTCGAACGTTTCCTCTCGAGCTTCGGTGTCTGAGGTAGCAGGGTGTAATCGCCGCCAGTATCCCCGCTTCGTTGTCGCGCCACAGGAGGGTGGTAGGTTGGCACGGGTACTCGCGGAGGTGGCGAGAACTGGTCACCCTGCGGCAGTAACGAGTAGCCGAGGTTTTGGCTTTGAATGAACGGCGAGGTTGGCGGAAAATGGTTTGCCACTACTGGCGCCCAGTACTGGTGGGAATACCGACCCAAAGAGCTCCCTGGGGACACACAAATTTCAATTATCTTGATATGTTAGCCTTTAAAGGTCAGCCTTTCTAATGTCCAATTCGCCACACACGAGCGAATACAGGGTGAAGCGTCTAAAACAGGCCACCTAAATAACTCGCTTGTTTTTAACAATAAAGAAAAAGTGTCAAACGAAAGTTGCTTGTTCGAGGGCCACAATGTGATGTCAATGTGATAAACTTTCTGTAAATGAAGTCGTAAAGTTCCATAAGCAAATCTCAAAATTGTTTTAAATGTAATATGTTTTTTATTTACATTTCGATAGAGCGTTTTAAGATAAAAATACAGTGACCTATAATTGAAGGTCGTTCAAAGTTACACAAACTGTAATGGAAAATAAATTGTTTCAAAGCACTCTTCGAATAATTTCGTGTCTTCTCTGCTTATATAATATATCGCTCTTGTAATCGTTCAAGTGTATCACTGAATGTAAATAAACATTGAATCATACATAGCATTATCCGTACTTATACCGATCAGTTTAAATTTATCTATTGATCAAAAGTGCATGTCTTGTAAAATGCGTTATATGAAAGCGGAAAAAGTCGATATGATTTTTATCTATGATGAATGTCTGCTCATTCTGTACAAATTATTGCTGAATTATTAAACAGCAAATTTGGAGATTGTTGGATTGGTTGATCAGGAAATAACAAATGGCCTGCGTTCCTCAGATTTAGTACCGGGATTTTTATTTGTGGAAAAAGTTAAAACAACAAGTGTATATAACAAAATACCGATAATCAGAGAAGACATGAAGGAGCGTATAAGAAGAGCTCATGCAGTGTTATTTGTATCGACATGCTTCAGAAAATGCATCGATGTTCAGGGTCATAATTTTGAACACTTGTTGTAACAGTAAATATGCAAATAAGTAAATTAGTAAAATATTCGAAAAGTGTCTTGAAACAATTTATTTTTCATTACAGCTGACTTTGTGTAACTTTGAATGATTTTCAATTATAGCTCACTGTATTTATCTTAAAATGCTCTATCAGAATGTAAATAAGAAAGTATGTCATTCCACTTAAAACAAATTTGAGCTTTTACCATTTTGACCATTTACAAAAAAGTTATTGATATCATATGCCTTTCAAAACCAAGCAAGGTAGCCTGTTTTAGATGTCTCATCCTGTATACAACACGTTATTTGTATGACCGATTAAGCGATGGACTATTATAAATCGCACAAAGCGAAATATAAAATGACGATAAACACGTTCTTTGTATCTTCGTGATATAAGAGATTAGAAGGAAGAGAAATAGGCTACGATACTTACTGTCACTACGCGAACTGCTATATTGCTTTTGCGCCCTCCAGGTCGTAGATCGAACCCTTCCAGCGGTTTCCGTATTAACGGCATCGACGCTGAGGCTTCTTGCGACCCCCCTGTAAGGATTCGATGTGGCGTTCTCACTGGCGGCCGCTACACCAGCGAGCTGCTCGTTAAGGGCATACAACTTGGACGTAATGTCCTTACCGATGAGGGTGTTGAGAACGACCTTGAGCAATGGCCTGTGCCGGAGCACCCTGAGTAACTTCATTCTCGTCCAACAGATATACGTACTGGGCTCCTCAGCTAGTATCGTCACCTGGAAGACGTCGGCATCGTTTTCATGCGTGGCCTCCCATTCGGGCGAGTCGACGAATTGGTAGGCTCTGATGTAGTGCAAGTGAGTTCCGTCGCAAGTTACCTTCATTCTGGAATAACAGGAGGAACTTGGACATCCAAGTTTTATGCAACACCCCTAAACCAGACGACGCTTAATAAAATTTTCTTCAATAATAAATTAATGCAACATTTGAAAAAAATTGAATGAAGAACATGAAAGTTTTAAAAATTATATTTCTCAATATTAATTTCACGAAAGCAGATATGAGATAAAAGGTGTCCATATTAATCCAGTTTCAATTAGCTTTTAATTTCAATTAAGATTAGCCTTCTTTCACAAGAAATGATATCTCTAGCTTAAAAGAATTAACTCTTAATTAAAAAGAAGGATACCCACTTTCCACGTAAAAGAATAGACAGCCTCCTATCCGCCGGCGTGACCCCTTCCGTTGCGTAGGTCTGATCGGAATCCAACTTGAGTATTCTCGCCTCCTTCGCCAGCTCCTGGAAATGCTTCTTGCTAACCTTGTAAGGCTTGAAGAGCTTCAAATATAGTTCGGCTAGTTCGGGGCTAAGAGCCGGAGGCAGAAATCGACAGGCGAGTATCAACGAATGAATGCCATTTAACAAACCAAGGGCCAAGCACCATAACATGGCATCTAGAGCGCATATGGTGAACCCGGCCCAGAGAGCTGCCAACATGAAACCCGCCGTGAGACACGTGCGAAGAGCCAAGACGGAAGCCTTGAACGAGCGTGGCACCAGAAACGCAGCCGCAAAAAATAAATTTGCTGCCTAAAATTAATATAATCGATAATAAATTCAAATAGTAAGAAAACATTCGAATTATCAATCCTTCGATTACTTGGAGTGTTCGCCTTATAAATTCGTTAAATGCATAAATATACATGCTACTGTATTTAGCGTAAATTGTTTCATAATTAAAAAAAAAACATTTTTGCATTTATTCTTATTTAAAGAATATAGAATATTATACGTTTTTCTTTAATCGTAAATCATCAAAAGGAATAATAAAAATTGAAATATAATGTTCAAGTCTAAAACATTCCACGGATAAGTGAGTTAAGAAAATTTACGCAAACAATGTAGAATTATATATAAGAAATTTTTTTTTTCTAAAACTTCAAATAGAGTAGAATTTCGTAGAATTTTTGCAAAAGAAAGATTTTATTGAAAACATTAAATAATTAAGTATTACTTATACACAAAGGAAAGATCTGAGAAACTTAAAAAAGAATTTAGAAATTATTCAAGACGTATCTTCACCTGGAAGAGCTTGTGCTGAGCAGCCTCCCATTCATCACAATAGCCACTCGGTAACAACACCGTCGCGTTCAGCCTTTCGGTGACATTGCTGACCTCAGTGCCGTTCCAGACGTCCAACCACAGTTCCGTGTAGTTGAAATCGTCCAGCGAGTAGCCGCCCAGGTTCGACAGACCACTATAGTTGAAGGTGTAGTTCTCGCTCGAATAAGTTGCTGTCGATGTCGACGAGGTGGGAAATGGTGTCGTTGTCGAGGACGAAAGGAGGCTGCTGCCGGCCGTCGCGGGTGAATCAGTCGTGTTCGCCATTTTTTGTCGAGGGCGCGTGACACGTGCCATCACCTTTGACTCCTGCAAGCCAAACGTTGGACCTTTCTAAATAATAGTCTTCGTAGACTTGCAAGAATTGTATTTATCAATGTATTCATTTTTTAGATAAAATTTTAAAAGCTGACTACTTTCGATTTCAACAAAATATTATAAAAGCATCATTTTGTGACAAAATGAAAGCCTTTAAAAGAATTTTTGGCGATTCCTATGAAGAAGTCATGTTTAGAAAATAAAATAGTAAAACAAGTAGTATTTATATTAATTGATAAAAGGAAAGAAAGAATGTGCGGGATGAATCTCGCTTTGCGTGAAAAGTCATGCTTGAAACTCGTCTCACTGTCGCGCACGTGCGTTCATTAAAAAGTTATTAACAAGTAAAGCTGACAATGTAAATGTGTGTTTAACTTTATAATTTAAATTTTATGTGGAAAGTTATGTGTAAACTCTCATATATCAAATCTCGCTTTGCGTTATAAAATGTAGGTATGCAATGGGTTTCACCATCTTTAGAGGTTCCAGCACCAAAAAGCTAGACAAGTTTAGTTGGGACTCGTTTTGCATGGAAAGTTGTAAATCATATAGAACCTCGCTTTACGTTGTAAAGTATATGATTGAATGCATCAGTCGATTTTGCTTTCTCTCTTCGAAGTGACTCCACGACTGAAAAACTAAACAATAATAATATAAATCCGTGTAAATCCGTGTGACAAATTTCAAAGAGATATTAATCCCTTCAATCTGATTTTATTGGAATCATATTAAACGAAATTTTAATTTAATTCATATACACTTTAAGTATTATAATATTCATACTAAAAATTAATTTTTTTTTTAATTTTGACTATTTTTCCAATATGAACATTGGTGTTATTATTCATCAGATCTTAGATATTGAATGATATAAAATTAAATAATTTGAACACAGATAATGTCTTTAAATTCGATGTAATTATACGTACAAAATGTACGCAGAGTTTGAAGAGGTTAAAACAATTATCTAGGAATTATCAGTTAAGATATATTACAAACTATATTACAAAATGTATTCTATTGTAAGTGTAAAAATAATAAATTCATTCAATAAAAACAGAGGTTGAGGAAACTCAGTAACCTTTTCCCTTTAACATATTTTAAGGTCATTAAAATCAATGATTTCATTATTGATATAAACACTTACGTACATTTTATTATTTTATTAAAAAAAAAAACGACTTTTTCGTAGAGAGCACAAACGCCAAAGTTTTTGCAAAAGCTGTCTTTAACTCAAAATTGAGCTTTTTACAACATTTCGTCGAAATCGGTTTTCAAAACCTTATTTTTTAATACTCTTTAAGTTAAATATTCTTTAAATTATTTTAAATATGATAGTACGTATTCGTTAAAAGATATCTGATGCTATTTTCCCTAAATCTTTAAACCAATATTATAAAATAAAACAGAAAGTATAATTCAAAAATAAAAATATCAATTTTTAAAAGATACTGACTTTTGTAGATTATTTATACATATCTCAAATATAATCTTGTCGCGATAACGGAGGTGAGTGATCGGAGCACTGAATGGAACACAATGATTGCTTCAAGTAAATTTCATTACAATAAATTTACATTTCATGATGCACGCAATTCTTTCTATTCGGCTGTGGAACTGGCGTGAGAATACTACGAATTGTCAAACATCTTTTTTTGTCTCTTTTAGTTCTATTTTATTACGTTGAGGATGGCTCGAACTTAAGTCGAAATGTACGTTCTTCGAAATTAGTTATTAATATTGATGAATATAATTAAAAGTTTTTTTTTATAAAGAATAAAATAGACACCGTTTTTCGTGCTGACTTCTAAAATTTTTGTAACTTTATTAATACTGTTTGAATTATGAGAAATTCATAATCAATCCTTAAATTTGAATTGTTTTTATAAATTAAATATTTAATATCACAGAGAATGCGTAAAATCATTAATTTTTGTTTTCGATCCTAATTTATTCTAACGATAAAATCTTAAATCTTCATTATTGGACGAATATTAATCAACTGAGATGTCATCAGCTGAATTAATCTCAAATAAGAAAAATTTATTTTCTACGAACAATTTTTTGATAATCTCCAGCGTTTTCAATATGCTAGAGTCGCGATCTTTCATATCGGGGACATCGCATATATCTATTCTTGCTCTTAATTTATCTAAATTATAGTTAAGCACTGACTGTCAGATTTACAGCAAAAGCCAAAAGCAACTGAACGATTAACGTGGAATATCGATTTGACTCTTCGTGATTCGGGATGCAATATCTGAGCTTTATTATCTTCGAGGTCGCGCCATGAGGGCCTGCGTGACTTTAACATTTCGTTTCGCCACCGACCTAAAGATTTCGCGGGATATTTTCCAACCAAAACGGCGAAAATCTCGAAATAGCATGCAGTTAAGGATCGACCACGTCATTGCCATCAGGAAAGTCGATTTTATCCGCTTTCGAACCGAACTGTACAGAATGCTGTCGAAAATGCAGGAGCGTCCTCCATAACTGGACAAAACATCTTGGCACGTACTTCTTGGCTTTTCTAACTTGTCTCTTCGAAGATACATCTGTGTAATTTATTAAGGTTCATTTTCAAGAACATATTAAGTTTCATATAAAACTCATTTTATATAAATCTCATTTCTTGTTTCTGCTTCGATTCACGTGATTTCTTATTACATATATAAGGTGAAACTAGCAATTTGCATTCTAATAGGTTTTTTTCACATTGAACAGAATGAATGCATGCAATTCAAAATTAGAAATTTTATATTTAACAACCAATATATGAAAGTACTGATATCCATGTCGCGATAAATATCTGCATTAAATTACTAACTAAAATGATTTTTTTTACGTATATTCTTTTCTTATAAAGATAAGTTATATGTCATTTACATTAATTTAGTTGTTAATTCAAAATCGATTGTGATTGAATATGAAAGTCACTGGTTCATGCAATTTTATAAGTATCAATAAAAACAACAAAATTGTTTTTATTACACGTGAAAAGAAATTCGATTAATTTGTGTTGCAAAGCATGCCGTCGATATGGTTTGCTGCGCAACCAGCCAGAAACGGCCAGAAATGCCATTTAACGTCCTTTCCGCTGACACAGCACGCGCCAATAATCGTGGATCCGCTCTCGGAATGATTCAATATTATCATTCGATTTTCGATATTTCCGTCCGGGGTGAGTCGATGTCATGCTCCCATCTAACGGAACTACATCGGCCTACCCGGAAATTCGTTAAGACACTCTTTCCGGCCTGATTCGACTATCGTACAAAGCATGTAAACTGGAATCCAGAATCAAGGCAGGATATACATTCACAGATAACTATTATCGGAATTCTGATTATATTCTTCTGCGCGTCGATTATAAGAATTGAATATTCTTGGATATGATTCTATGAAAGCGATTTGTATATATTTGAAATCTATATCCGAAAGAGGACACTATTTAATTAAGTATTCAAATCTGATAATTGGATTCAGTCTATTCTTACAACGATTCGTAGTATCGTAAAAGAATATGACTTGCAAATATAAATACCATTTTTAAAACCTTATTGTGACAGTTTCACCGGTACAATCTCGCTCTTCGTGAGACACTGCTCTCATTATTTTTATACAAAAGTGTTATAAACCGACGACCGAGATTCCCCAAATAAAATAGTCGATATAGAATTTATATTTAAAACAGTGGTTATATAGGTCGTATCATATCGTGAATTGAGAGAAAGCTAATTATATTAAGAGTTTCAAAAACGGATATTGTTTACGCTTGATTCATCTCTGATATGGTCTAGTTTTGCCTGAGAGATTTCCTGAACCTATTAACTTGATTTCACGTTCATACGGTCTCTAAAGAGCTAACGTCTGCCTTCTGCAAGGGCAGCTCGTGCATTTCGTTATGCAAATTCTAATTCGCAGCTTAGGTTTCGCCGCGATACAAGTTTGATCCTATCTTCATATTCTTTCGCTTTAATCTCGCCATGACGTGAACTATTCCTCGTGAAAGGAAACGCGAAGTAACTAGATAATCAGCTTTGCAAACGAGATTTCAACTCTAGATTTTATCAACTATTGTTATGCCTCTTGTGTGATTATTCCTATTATCTTGATACATTTTACAGACATTTCATACGACGTTCTAATCATCGCACAAAATTTATTTTCATTTATAATAGAATTTTAATATTATAAATAATTTGTATATATATTGATAGAAGAGTAAATATATTTATTGTAGGCTGTTTTGCAGATATAACGTTAATAGCTAAATATTCGTGAAAATATTCGTAAAAAAGATTTATATTTGTTTTTCCATTTACAATTATTTATAATATATTAAAATTCCATTTTTCTCTAAATAGGAACTTGCTATGATGACTAAAATGTCTGATAAAATTTCTATAGAATGTATTAGATAGAAGATAATATATATAAGTATAAAAATACTTTTTAAACATCACTAAAATAAATTAAAAAAAAAAATTTTTTAATATTCGTTTCTATTTTTTAAGAGATTTTGAAAGTTCTTCATTATAGTTCGATGTTACCTGTGTTGATATGTTCTTGTACTGATTAATCCATCTAATGACGTCACAGCGGTAATCCACACGAAACGAATTTGCTAAAGATACTTCTTATAAACGGCCGAAAAGTTTCAAGGTCATCGTGCCTCTGTATCGACTTAGAACTCGTATGGTAATTAAGCACGAAAGCGGAGCTTTCGTGACTGGCTGTACTCACTATCGCCCCAGAAGACTTATTTGCGAGTTCTGCATGGGCTCGGCTGGGTCAGGGTAAATCACGTGACATCATAACAGGGTGTGGTGATTTATGTGAGGTTTTAAAAGCCTCCTTGCAACGTGTGCAGCTTGCATTTACGACGCTTCAAATTTGTATCCGCGTGAGGTCTAATTTTGAAATCATGAATCAAATATCGAGAAGAGGTTTAGAACAAAAATCTTGTAGTTAATAATTACTATGACAGCGTTAAAAGTATGCAATAATTTTATTTTGGTGTTTTGTACACAATACAATTGCCTTCTTTATCTCGATTGCTCTTTAAACAATTACAAATATATATCATATTTGATTAAGTGTGTATTAAACTTTTTCTTTAAATTTAATAAACAATGAATGATTTTGCTTAAAATTAACTTTAAAGCTAGAGCAAATGACTAATAATTAAATAGTAGAATATATTTCAGAAGATTCAGTAATACGTTGTGCATATATATGTAACGTTGAAACTCTATATTTTCATCTCGATCGTATTTTTATTTAAATTAGGTTAATTGGCTTCCTTCAATTCCAGCCAACAAATTAGCGTCGATAACGTATCGGGGAAAAAAACTGAGAAAACCGATGTGTATGCTCTCTTTTATTGCTCGTACTATTCGTACCGTGAGTCCGTATGTAAATTGGGTCTCCTGAAAATATGAAAATAATCTTGTCGACGGGCAAGATATGGTTCGCGTGACGACAATCGCTTCCTTGCGATTTTACTTCCGTTCGCCACTTTGTTCCGACCTCGAAGATGTCAGCTTGTATAGGAAACGTCAGTTCTATTAATTTCAAGATATTTTTAGAAAATTAATAATGTTTAATCGAAGGAAGTTTAATCATAATTATTTCAATTTTATACACAATAAGATTTTAATGTAGACATAAATGGAACCTTTTCGTATATATCTCTATATTGTAAGAGAAAATTTCAACGAGAAGAAATTATTCGGTTATTCACTTAGTCTATCACCTAATAGAAATTCAAAAGCGTTGCAAAGTCGACAATGTATAAAAATGCAGATTAGGGGGATGACTAAAATGCAACAGTGTCACGTAACCATTTCGGTGTCACGTAACCATTCTGGAATCGATCTAGAATCACCGAGCGGACACATTCTGTCATTCCCGATTCGTTTTACGATGGACAGCGGCGGTTTGTCAGACAGCTTTTGAATTGAATTAAAGCTAGCGTAGGATTGGAAGCCAACCCTTCAATGCTTCGATTTCCACCGAAACGGTGGCCGACAAGCCGCATGAGACAGAAACAGATTCGACAGTGCGGCATTTGATCGGTCAATCCAATTTATGTCGATGGGATTGCCTAACTTATTTCATTTACTTACTTTCCATAAAAATGGAATTGGCTATTTTCGAGCACTAAAACTTCCTGTAACTTTTTGGCATTGTGTCCATTGTATATTTTCTTTATTTGTAAATCTGAGATTTTGTCGGAACATTCGATATTATTTAGAAGTTCGTAAAAAATGATTAGCAGATGAATAAATCTTAAGTTTCAGAAAGTCAGATTAAACTATGCGAATTAAGATTAACTTAAGAGGAAGTCATTGATTAAAAATTCTTTTTGTTCCAACCTTTTAATTAAAATTATAAAAACAGAAATCTAAAAATGAAATTGATTTTTTGAGACAATTAAGTACGTTTTACTGGAAATTTATAATTGAGCCGAATTTATTTGCATTTTAAGTTTAATTAGAGTGTGTCCGCTTTCACCATACATTTATCTTAAGACACGTTATAACAACTTTACAATTATTATATATACAATTTTGAACGTACACACTATTGGTTCAACTTACATAAGTTATCATTCAATTTATAACTGTGAATTTCACACTCACTATAAAACAGTATTTTTTTATACAATAAGCAAGGAGTAAGGTGGGAGCTCTATGACAGTTGCATCACAGCGTATTGAAGCGTATAGAAGCATTACTTGAACATGAGATACTAAATCATAATAGCGACATTAGGAAGAAAAAACATGTGTAGTGATGGAGAGTGAACATTAGCACGATATTGGCATAATTATGAGTATATGCTTAGAATTATCATTTTATTTGCGTTATTAATATTTTAATATATGAACAGGTATAGATTACAACATTGATGATAACTTCATAGACCGAAATGTCTGTTTGTTATTGTCATAAAGAATTTTGAATTTTTTTTTTGTAAAAAAGGTTGTCAATGATTGTAGCATGTAATTCGTTTTATTAATTTTTAGCTTGTAGCCCTTAATTTAATTATAAAACTATAAATTTAATTATAAAACAATGTTAGCTAATATATATAAATAAATGCCGATTCTCTTGTAAAAATATTTGCCAAGTCAAGGTCTTCGCTAGAGCATGTTGGACTTGCGCTTGGATTTATGTCGGGAACACTTGTTGCCCCGTCAAGCTTATCGTGAGCGAGTCCATCGCATGTAAATAGTTTTGCACGACTCATGTCTTGTACGTGATTATTTTATAAATCACAATTGTATGTGGCAGAGCGAGGGAGTAACAACTAGTTAAAATATTGTCCTACAGATTATACGATTTAATTTCATATAAATTTTTATCCGATTACAAATAATTTTCTTCACTACATATAAAGTTATTTGGTAAAATATATGATTTTATCTAATATTACAAAAATAATTTCTCGTGGTTACATATAATTATCGAAATATGCATGAGAATTTCATATGAATTTTATAATAATTTTGGAGACTGTGTCACAATTACATTAAATGGTTACCCCCTCATGGCAGAGCGCGTTGTTCTTTTATCGTTTTGTCGCATCATCATTGATTTCCAGCTATACTTTTCTCTAGTGCACATAAAATAATAAAAGTAAAGGCCTAAATAGCACAGAAGAACATAAAACGTAAGACTTAAGTAGTAAGCGAATTGATTAATCACAGTAGAGACCATAAGACTATAACATAAGTAGTAGCGAATTCAACATGTTAATTTCCTTACTACTTAAATCTTAAGTTTTTTTATGTACCAAGGCCGTAATTCGTATTTGCATGCATTGATTATGTTGCGTCGCCTTAAATGAAGTTAATTAAACATGCAAAATTGTATCAGTGTTGATTGATGTCGAAAAAATTATGTTTCATCAATTCAAGTCCTTCAATACTAGAATGTTTTGACTACAATGTCAGCTAAAAATATCAGTCAAACAATCAGTCAAAATAAGCTGATATCATTCAAAGATATAAAGTCTGGACTGTTCCATAAAATTGGTCGATAAAAATGAGAGTGATAGATCACGAAAACGGCCAGTCTCTAGCTCTTTCCACTTGACTAATCACGATATTTGAAGTTCGTCAACGCCTTCACACTCCCTTTCTTTCATTCGTGTTGATTATATTTAATATACTATTTAGATACGCGCGAATGGCGTATCCGACTGTGTGTCGGATAACTGAATTCAGTACAAGTCAATGGAAGGGTCAGTCACAATCAGAAAAGTACAATAAAACTCAAACATACCACGGCTGAATGTAAAATTCGCATTCATGCAAATCGCGAAGCTACTTATCACATAAAGCTCTTACCCCAAATTCAAAGGAGAAAAATAAATATGCATAAGGATAATGCAATATCGAGCTGTGATATCTTTAATAGAACAATTTCAAATATTACGCGAATAAAAAAAAAGGTGAGTTAATTTTTCAGACTGCGGAGACCGAAGGTTACGGTAGAATAGAAAGAGCTCTTCGATGGGGTAACGTTTACTCTTCCAGTAAACAGCCAGCTGCTGTCTATAATGTGGTGCGTGGGGTTGGCGCGAGCGCTGTACGAGAAGGGAGGGCTATCGACCCTACATCTGCCTATATCGACAACGACGGAGAAACCACGCGGTCTGCTACGTGCAACCCTCTTTCTTAAAGGTTGCTATATGTACACAATACTACGACACACGTGTATCGACAAATCGACTGCGGAGTCTCCTCGACGTTTTGTCGAAATACGATATCTGAAATTTAATTCGCAAACGTGCTTTTGTCGAAAAAGAAAAATATTGACACGCGGCTTATTGTGCTGCACGTATCGATATATACGAGCGCTGCGTCATATATCGTGAGATTCACAGTGTTGCACACACGTACATATATGGTATGTATTATATATACGCAGTAGCTACTTTTACCGCGAAATGTTAAATCATTCAGAACATATCAGTGTGTATTAATAGCTCCAATAATGAATATTTTCTTCCTGACGGTGTGGAATAAATTAAATTATAAATTATAACTAAACAATTATTTAATATATTTATTCAACTAAAAATTTTTAATTATATATATATATATATATGTCTTTATATTACTATAAATGACATTTTTTATTTACTATTTCCACGATGCCAAGCTTCTGTTTGTACGATTTAAAATTGAAAGCGTTTTCCTTTTTATTAAAGTTACTCATTTTGATTTCCCTCGAATACTTGGAATGTTAAGCTTCATTTCGCTCTTACACGCAGAATTCTTACGAATTGCGAAGTTAGCGGTTAGTTACTTGCAATCTCGTCGTTTGCTTTGCACGAACGTAAAGCAACAGGTAAATGTTCTAGCATCGCATGTCACAATTAATTTCTTTTACGTCGAGACAGCGTAAACGCGACCGATTAGAGAGATTATAACATATAAGATAGAGATCTTAATGGTTAAAAAGAGTATTTAATTCGTTGTAACGCGACCTTTCACTTTTGCAAAATGGCACATTTTTTTCATCATTTCCAGCTTATATATAGGATATTCTAAGCTTGTCGTGCAATCGTGTTATTTTAAATATTCAATTAAATTCTTAATGATTTACGTATTAATATCTTTTAAGTCCTTACCTTATGGTGGATAAGCGATATGTCTTTTGGAGTGTAAGATGATACACCTCAGTCTACTGTGAGTATGCGACGACAGCAGCGAACATGAAGGCGCTGAACTCTTTTTGTCCTCGTCGGAATTCGCGACGCGAACGATCATCATTCCGCGTGACACCATCACGACAGATTATTTTTTTAAACAGGCTTACTACGCAAGAAAAAAATCATATAGATAGATCAATCACGTAGATCATCACAAGTAAAGTCACAATAAATAACGCGAGTTTCCCGCGATTTGTTTTAATGAAGCGTTTCTGCTTTCTTCGCTGTCCAGTCGCTGATGTCTGAAACATCATGAACGATTTACAAATCAGCGAGAATCTAACTTTTTCCTTAACTATTAAAGAGCTAAACGAGCGTCGGATAATCTTGTCTCTTGGTATTGTGAAGTTACGATGAGTTAATGCAGGTTAGAGTAAGTTTTGATGATTAAACCACGCGAAATGATTACAAACGTCGCTTTTTCTTATATTTAATCCTTTTTTAATTAGAATTTAGTTAAATATGAATAAACGGTTTTTTAAAACCAAAATTTTTTAATTTTTTAATAAAATAGATATTAAAAATTAATAAGAATGAAAGCGAAAACAGAGAGGAAAAATGAGAAATCTCCTATTTTTCAATTTATTTCACTTTTAAATATTCGAATCGTTTAAAATATTATAGCTTTATCTTTTTATTAATTTAAACCAATGATTTTAAGAAGATTAAAATATCTGTTAAACATTAAATATAGCTAACAAATTAAAAATTTCAATTGATCTTTGGATTTGAGAGTTGCAACAATTCAGCTTTCTATTAATAATCTAGAATAGCTTAAAATGTATACATATGTTACAAACGAAAGAAAGGTCATTTGATTACGAAGCATTACGAAGCACAAACTCTCATGTGTCATCAACAATGATAACTTGCCAACTTTCCATTTATAACCCAATTATGCTCTGCTGACTAATACACAATGTGGCACCAGCTCAAACGACCATTATTACTCTTTGTAATCCACGCGAAAGTCTCTAAATGCATATTATCCATTTCGGTATCTCGTAAGTCTCGTAAGTAATGTCAGGTGTTTTTGCTTCAGCTGCAGAACTCTGAATTAATCTCTATGAATTTATTTATGTAAATGATTAGAATTATTAAACACAATATATTCTGACATAACAAGCAGCAGCCAGCATCACTTTTGATCAATAGCGATTACATATTATTCATCACTTCCTTTTTTTCATTTCTCTCTCTCTCTCTCTCTCTCTCTTTCTCTCTCTATATGAAATTTTCTGAAGCTTTTTTATTCATTTTGCTGTATTGAGTTTAAAGCAACCTGAATGAACAACATATATTGCTGAAATTCTTACGGAAGCAACAATTACGCATCCAAGATGCATGTTTTCATTGCGCTATTAATCAATAACAATCACACATTACGCTCATCAGCTCTCTCATTCGCGATCTTATGAATCTCCCGCGCGTCTACAGTAATGCACACTGCAGTCCAGCAGCAGGATAACTCTCAGTACTCTCTCCTCTGGTTGCTTTACTGAAAGTTGCTCGAAAACGCGCGACAGCATCTTTTTCCTCTCACCTGCTCTTTCTTTCCTCTGTGTTCTTAACATACCAGATATTCCGTCCGCTTGTCAGCAGGGATATGGCAGCATCATCAGTCTGGGAAATGGGTCGCATTCTTCACTGGAGCACTGTTTACACGGCAGATTGGACGCCATGGTCACTGCCGTCAGAAACGAGGAAAAGCGATCCTCAGCGACGGCGTGTCCTTCGTCCTGTCGATGGTGACGGTGGCGATGATGTTCTTGTGTTCTTTCCACGGTATCCTACTTGCGAAACGCGGTCTCATCGATGGGAGGACGCAGCACAAAGAACGACAGCCACTTGTACGCTCATCTCCGCGCGGAATCTCCTCTCCTGTCGACGTACGCGCACATTCGGAATACGCCAGTCAGCCTTGTTCTCTTGTTGGTCACCCCGCAAACCTTTTCTCACCCCTTTTTCCGCTTCCCCTCTTCATCTGCCCACCTGTCCACCTTCAACCCCCTCGCTCGATCGCGCTCAAGCGCGCGTCCCTCTCGTTCTTAGCCGCCCTGATCTGAGGGCGCGAAACTGCACACTCCAGGGGGTTACACTCCGCACGATGACGCGCCTCTGGAGGCTCTCGCGACACTAAGCTACCCTTGGAACTAGCACCACGCCCTCCACGTAGGTGGCACCACCACTCGTTAACCCCCTTTTCGAGGCCAAATCATCTACTATTAAGTCTTATTCGAGTCTTTCGAGCAGTAGTCTGTTAATCATAGTGCTTTCTTTCTCGCTCTCTTTTTCTGTTTCTCTATCTCCTTATTTTAATCAGTCCTTCTATACATGGTATCTTCCCTGCTCGAATTTAGTTCTTCTTTTTCGTGGCAAATACATTTGTAAAAAATAAAATTTTTCAAAGATTGAAAAAAATAACTTTGAAATTTAACAAGTTAATATTATAATTAAAGAATATAATAATAATATATAATAATTATTATTTAAATATTAATAAAAAAAAGTTAATCTTAATTATTACAATTTACTTTTCTCTTAATATATTATTATTATATCTGGAAAACACACATCCAGATATAACGAATTAATGTGTAAAATGGGAAATTAATGTAATGAGAAAATTAATCAAGTATTCTCTTTTCAATATCAGTTTAGTCTTATTTATTTTGTTATAAATAAGTTTTTAAAGTTCATTTAATTAAATATGTAGATATTTTATTTACATTTTTAGTAAAAAATTTGTTTACGTAAGAAATTCTAGATTTCTGCTAAGCTCGATTCTTTGATCGACTTTGATATTTACAAGAACATTATAGGCGCATTTTTATATTATAATATATTTACTTACATTGGATTTATTTAACGTTTGTTTTTTTTTTTTTTTTTCAAAAATTGTTAGAATACTTCCGTAAGCACTATTTTGTTTTTATGGACTAGAATTTTCATTCTTCGAAAGCATCGTTTGATATTTACAGATATATACATAGTAAATTTACATTATGTATAATAGTTGCTTTTTTCGAAAGGTGCGAATTCGTTGCGAATTTCGTTGCCAGGCAACAAATCTACAGAGTGTATATACAACATCGTGATTATAATATTGCGATCAGTAAAGGAATGTAATCCTCTGAATTTTATAATTGTTCTAGTTCTAACGAAATTCAAGAGTTAGTTAATTACGGAATAATTGTAACATTAAAATCTGTAACTCCATTTTAGCAAATTAAAATCCACAAGTATAAGTGTATTAAACGGAAGTTAAAGAATATGCACTAATTTTTTATTGCTAGTCATCATATGATGACGGCCAACTCTCCGCGTTTTTGTAATCAAAGGCCTGTATATCGTGCTCGAAGTCATCGGCATCATCCATCATAAAATTCTCGTGATTCGAGTAATTGGCGTAATGCTATTCTTCGTCAACAATCTCGCAGCTGTGATACTTGCTGGAGGAGTCAAGCCAGCTCTCCACACCGCTGGAAGCTAAATCATCACAGGACGGCAGCTCCGGAAGAGGCTCCATGCTTGGCACACCCTTCTTCGTCAAGTCATTGGTCGCGCGTCCCTTGGATTTCTTATTAACTAAAATAAACGATCATTCACAATGAGATAGTCCAATTTATATTAATAAATTAATAAAAATTAAGACAACGCAGAAAAGATTTTTATTTCTTTTTTCCAAATTTCCTCATTATGCATAAAACAGTAATAGAGGCTACTTTCCTTTTAAGAAACACAGTTGATACAAACGTCGTCCCATCCTTCTTGACAATAAATAACAAAGATAGAACAACATTTGTGTCTCTTAAAAAAAGAGCAATCTTAAGTTCAATTTAGTCATAGTTAATAGATATATTGTTAGATATTGATTTTATTCCTTTCTTGCTGATCAGCAACTGTCTGTAGCTCGAGGGCTTCTACACTTACCGTTTATCCCTAAGCTGGCGCTGATAGAAGGAAGACGAATGTCCAAGTGTGATCCTTTGTTATTAATTATCTACAATTTTAATAAAATCAAAACACGATTGAAGAATAAAATGATAGGAAAGACTTTACATTAAAAAAAATGTTATAAATATACATATATATTTAAAAAATATATTATAAATATTAATAAGTATTAAAATTACTTTTAAAATATTTAACAAAATAATTTTTTTTTAATATTTAATGACACATATGTATATAAATAAAAACAATCAGATTTGATAAAAGACAGATATGAATGGATAGATAGATAAAAACTTTTAAAAACATAAAATAAATTAAAATTAAAAAAAATTATAGTTATGATAGTTATAGATAAACGATGAGTAAATGACATAAGATCTAAAAATTAAATAAAAAAGTAAAGGTGTACAACAAGTATAAAAGCAAAGTAGAAATGAAATAAAATAAAATAGAAACAGTGAATGTAATTCATAATAAAATAAAGAGAAAAAAAACAAAAGCAAAACAAATAAGGAAGGGAGAATGAATTAAAATAACAATGAGATAAATGATTTATAAAAAATGACGCAAGCGAGCAAGTTACAAAGGGAGAGGGAGGGAGGGAGGGAGAGCTTTATGATAAAATATTAACCCGATTTTACAGTAAAAAAAATAATAATTTTTAAAAGAGTACCTTATTATTCATTGCGTAGAGCTTTGTTGCAATATCTCGTGCCACCAGTGTAGTTAAGACTGTTGCAAGATAGGTTTCTTTCACTAGCAAATATTCCAAAGCTGATCGTTGCCAATACAAGTATCTGCAGGAACTCGCCGCTATAATGGATACCTGAAACATTTAATTTAATTTGATTTAGAAATTTCAATGAGATTAGAACAAAAAATTAATTAAAGTCGTACCTTAAATTTATCGTCGATGGAAGCTCGGGAGCTTTCGAATTCCGGTGAATCTAAAAATTCACAGGGCAGTATCGGATGTAGAAAACCGTTGATATCGTTCAAAACGTTGACTTTTCCAGTGAGCAGCAAGCCTAATCTGTCTGTTCTTGTTAGATTTTGCATTGCGTATGCTTCACCAGCATGAAGAGACATTATCGTCGCAAATTCTGGGGATACTAATCGCTTGAATTGTATTCGTGAGACCTAAGCAAATTCAAAGTTAAAGGAAAAAG